AGTGGGTGGGTCAGCTAGCGAGACGTCACGCTGGCTGACCCAAACACACATTTTTGCGAATTTCTCGGAAACCGAGTGTGCACCGAAATTAATTTTGGTGGCCCTAAACTGCACCTAAATTGGATCTAATTCCTGATTAATATTTACCAGTGTTCGACGAAAATTAGTGGGTGGGTCAGCTAGCGAGACGTCACGCTTGCTGACCCAAAACACATTTTTGCGAATTTCTCGAAGACCGAGTGTGCACCGAAATTAATTTTGGTGGCCCTAAACTGCACCTAAATTGCACCTAATTCCTGATTAATATTTACCAGTGTTCGACGAAAATTAGTGGGTGGGTCAGCTAGCGAGACGTCACGCTGGCTGACCCAAAACACATTTTTGCGAATTTCTCGGAAACCGAGTGTGCACCGAAATTAATTTTGGTGGCCCTAAACTGCACCTAATTCCTGATTAATATTTACCAGTGTTCGACGAAAATTAGTGGGGGGGTCAGCAAGCGAGACGTCACGCTGGCTGACCCAAACACACATTTTTGCGAATTTCTCGGAAACCGAGTGTGCACCGAAATTAATTTTGGTGGCCCTAAACTGCACCTAAATTGGATCTAATTCCTGATTAATATTTACCAGTGTTCGACGAAAATTAGTGGGTGGGTCAGCTAGCGAGACGTCACGCTGGCTGACCCAAAACACATTTTTGCGAATATTACGGAAACCGAGTGTTCGCCGAAATTAATTTTGGTGGCCCTAAACTGCACCTAAATTGCACCTAATTCCTGAATAATATTTACCAGTGTTCGACGAAAATTAGTGGGTGGGTCAGCTAGCGAGACGTCACGCTGGCTGACCCAAAACACATTTTTGCGAATTTCTCGGAAACCGAGTGTGCACCGAAATTAATTTTGGTGGGCCTAAACTGCACCTAAATTGCACCTAATTCCTGAATAATATTTACCAGTGTTCGACGCAAATTAGTGGGTGGGTCAGCTAGCGAGACGTCACGCTGGCTGACCCAAAACACATTTTTGCGAATTTCTCGGAAACCGAGTGTGCACCGAAATTAATTTTGGTGGCCCTAAACTGCACCTAAATTGCACCTAATTCCTGAATTATATTTACCAGTGTTCGACGAAAATTAGTGGGTGGGTCAGCTAGCGAGACGTAAAGCTGGCTGACCCAAAACACATTTTTGCGAATTTATCGGAAACCGAGTGTGCACCCAAATTAATTTTGGTGGGCCTAAACTGCACCTAAATTGCACCTAATTCCTGAATAATATTTACCAGTGTTCGACGAAAATTAGTGGGTGGGTCAGCTAGCGAGACGTCACGCTGGCTGACCCAAAACACATTTTTGCGAGTTTCTCGGAAACCGAGTGTGCACCGAAATTAATTTTGGTGGCCCTAAACTGCACCTAAATTGCACCTAATGCCTGATTAATATTTACCAGTGTTCGACGAAAATTAGTGGGTGGGTCAGCTAGCGAGACGTCACGCTGGCTGACCCAAAACACATTTTTGCGAGTTTCTCGGAAACCGAGTGTGCACCGAAATTAATTTTGGTGGCCCTAAACTGCACCTAAATTGCACCTAATGCCTGATTAATATTTACCAGTGTTCGACGAAAATTAGTGGGTGGGTCAGCTAGCGAGACGTCACGCTGGCTGACCCGAAACACATTTTTGCGAATTTCTCGGAAACCGAGTGTGCACCGAAATTAATTTTGGTGGGCCTAAACTGCACCTAAATTGCACCTAATTCCTGAATAATATTTACCAGTGTTCGACGAAAATTAGTGGGTGGGTCAGCTAGCGAGACGTCACTCTGGCTGACCCAAAACACATTTTTGCGAATTTCTCGGAAACCGAGTGTGCACCGAAATTAATTTTGATGGCCCTAAACTGCACCTAAATTGCACCTAATTCCTGAATAATATTTACCAGTGTTCGAGGAAAATTAGTGGGTGGGTCAGCTAGCGTGACGTCACGCTGGCTGACCCATATATTTTTGCAATTTTCTCGGAAACCGAGCGAGCACTTAAATTAATTTTGGAGGCCCTAAATTGCACCTAAATTGCACCTAATTCCTGAGTAATTTTTATCAGTTTTTGGAGAAGTGGGTCAGCTAGCGTGACGGACGTCATTCTCCCTTCGTTGCAAAAATTTTTGGTAGAGCGACTCTTGTTTATCTAAAGTATCTATGCGATATTAGCATTTTCCTGCACGCCAAGTGGGTTCCATGAATAGCCAATCAAAAACGTATGTAGTGATTCTCAAGCGAATAGCTAAGGGACTACCGTCATAATCGTGGTGTTGATATGACAATCATCCGAGTGCATTGAGCTTCAGAATACCTGTTGTAGTTTTGTATCTGAGTTTGCATGTATAACTTTCTGCCATTTATTTTGTACACGCTTTTCAACTCATTCCTTTACTTACCGTATAGCTGTTTTTGAAGTGAACTTGCACATGAGAGCTACTAATGCTTTATTTTGCAATTAAAAAGCAAATTCACACTATAAGTTGTTTCAGTTAACAATGTGTTGCGAGAATTCAAGCGTTACCTAATTATTATACCCGAGCGCACTTGTGCACAAGGGTATTATAACTTTGTTCACATAACGGTTGTTTGTAACAGGCAAAACGAATCGAGATAGATATAGACAAATGTATACATAAATGATCAGAATGAAAAGAGAAATCGATTAAGCGGTGACTGTCTGTCCGTCCGTCCGTCCGTCCGTCCGTCCGTCCGTCCGTCCGTCCGTCCGTCTGTGCACACGATAACTCGAGTAAAAATTGAGATATCTTAACGAAACTTGGTACGTGAACTTCTTTTGGGCGTGGGACGGATGGTATTGAAAATGGGCGAAATCGGATAATAACCACGCCTACCTCCCATATAACGGTAATTTTAAGAAATACGAAAACTGCGATATTTTAGTAACTACTGAAGATAATTCACTCAAAATTGATACTTACAATGAGTTTCAGACGGAAAACATGAATATTATAAATTTTTGGAAAATGGGCGTAGCCACGCCCACTTATGGTTACATGTGTATATCTTGGTAACCGCTACATCAATTT